GGTCCAGACGTCCGGTAATCCGGACAGGCACCGGACAACCGGACAGGACCGGACCCGGACCGTCCGGACCGGTACACCAGACACAAAAAATGTCCGGACCGAGTTAAAAAAAAAAAAAAAAAACAAAAAAAAAAACAAACTTAGTAATAAGCAGTAGTACTCAGTACTAACCACAGCTTACTGTCTTTCAGTATTCACAACTTGACAGCTTCATACTGTCACAAACATTCACAAAGGCTCACACAACACTTGAAACCAGTTCTCACCAGACCAATCCCAAGTCACTTCAGAAAAAGAGTGTGAAAATCAGAAAAAAACAGAACTTTGAACTTTGAAGTTAGACTTTCTAATTCATATTCATATGAAAATTGAAAATTTAAACTGTTAAGTTATTCAGATCTGCGTAAGAAGTACTAAGAACAGATCTGAGATCTGGTCAGGACCAGATCTAAGACGGGATCTCAGATCTGACAAAAATCTTCTCTCTCTCTCTCTCTCTCTCTCTCTCTCTCTCTCTCTCTCTCTCTCTCTCTCTCTAGCTTGATGTTCTTTGGCGCTTTGCAGCCAGCAGACTCATCTTCATCCGATGAACTACCAGTGTAGTACAACAGCAGAGGGAGCTGTTGGAAGCGTCTGGCGGCGTCCGGTAGGCCCTGAAATGGCCAAAAAATACCGGGGGCATTTTTTGGGGGCGGCCTAGGACCCGAAAACGTCCTAGCCCCCCCCAAAATTTTTTTTGAATTTTTCAAAATTGGGCCCAATCCAGACCTACCGGACCAGACACCGGACCCATACCCAGACAACCGGACCGTCTGGATTCCGGTCCAGACGTCCGGCCGGTTGCCATGGTCTCTAGTCCGATGAATTTGGGCGCTCCTGTAGTAGCCCGTGCGTGTCCTAAAATTGTGGCGTGTTAACGGGCACGACTCTAGGAAGTACTGGTGGTTTAAACCACCAGTACTTCCGCAGCACTTTTCTTTGGTGCTGGAAACGCGGTGGACATCCTCCTTTCGGCTGGTGCCGCCAGCCATTTTGCTCTCGAGGCCGAGCCCCAAAAGTTGCGCTGGCATGGAAGTCGCATATTTGTTTTCATAGCACATCATGTACTGGTGGTTTGAGCCAGCAGTACTTGGCCCATACATCGGCCGCGGGCCCCTCACCACTACTTTCAGATGCCTTAAACCACCAGTACTTGCTAAAGTCGTGCCCGTATACAAGCCACAATTTTAGGAACATGTACGGGGTACTACGGGCCACTACAGGAGAGAGATGGTTAATGGAAGGCCCAAAATTCGGGGTTTTTCGCCGCACCACCATAAGCAGTGTCGTAAAAAATTTCGCAAACCAACAATGCAGTCTCATAATACAAACATTCCAAAAAAAAAAACAGGCAAAAGAAAACGAAACAAAAAAACTCAAAAGCACTATAAATTAGTATAAAACACTCTTCAGAGTAGCTTTCGGAGTTCGGCAAAAAATTTCCCAAATTCGGTGTTTTTGCCAACTTTTTTGTTACTGGCCCGTATGGCAGTTTCAGTGAAAAATTCACCGAAAACGACACCACCTATTAACCATATGTGTCATCCGACTAGAGACGTTTCTACTCTATTTTTCCCCGCAGCCCCCCGTTGGGCCAAGTACTGGTGATTTAAACGTGACAAAGGCCATTGATGAGATTTATCAATGGGGGATGGGTTACAAAAGTTGCAGCGCGTTAACGTGAGGGGCCGCGGCCCACGTATGGGCCAAGTACTTGTGCTTTAAGTCTCAACTTGGGGAAGAAATCCTGGCAGCATATCCGTGCGGCGTATGCAGTAGGGCAACCAATCCCGCAGGTGCATGTTTGGCAACAAGTGCTGGGTGACATCTTCAGGAATCAGGATGGTGATGGCTTGGTCCTTTGCACCATCCGGGTAGAATTGCAAGGTCCCCTTCCTTTTTTTTTTTTTTTGTTGAACGTCATATGCGGGAAAAACCTACTTACTACTTAACGAGGTGATAAGAGCAGGCCCGATAAGTAGGCCCCATCGTCGAAGGCTCCATCTGTTGGTAGGGAGCTACACTGGCTGGAAATCGGGTCCAGCGTCCCTGTACAAAGATGTGTTGTGTATTAGCTGGAAATCGGGCGCAGCGTCCCTATGCAGTAATGTGTGGATATGTCCTACTGTGCATCCAATACTATCTGTATATGTTCGTCAATCTCTATATGTCGCATGAAAGAAGAACCCTATCCACCCTATCCACCTTATCTGCTGTATCTCCATACCGAGCGGAGGCATTGAGCCCCATCCTATCGATCAAACCATGACACACAACCTTAACAATGATGTGATGTGTGTGAGCTGTCATGGTGCACAATCCAGTCGGTATTCACTTTACGGTTTTATAACAATTTATAATTAAAGCGCTGGGTACTGGGAGCTGGGCCCTTTTTCAAATCCTCATCTCCGGAGGGGAATCGCAACACCGAGCCCGAGAACTGACGAACAAGGGCCCGCCGTTTTTCAACAGGGAGAGTGAGCCAGTTCTCGGCCCTGTGTTAATATAGGAAGGGGGGTTTCCAATGGCTGGGCTGGACACTGGTGATGACAAAACCCCAAGTTTCCCTCAAGAGTCAAACAGACCTGCCGTCTCGGTTGTTGACTATGCCTACCCCTCCCCCCTGAGTCCAGAGTGTAGCCACCATATCCCCCATAGGTATCGGGCAGCTGCTTCCTTTATGCTAGAGTAGGCAGAGCTGCCCAGTATGTATCTAACCATTGGAAACCACAGCAGCAAAAAGGCAGAAGCAGAAAGGACCAATGCTCTCCCAAAAGGGAGAGAAGAGATGGCGGCGTTTTCTCCGGGACCGTGAAAGAAGAGATGCCGTTTTCTCCCGGAGCATCATCCTTGCAACTACCTTCTGAGATAAGAGGTCATCTTTTTTTTTTTCTTTTTTTTTTTGGGT